TGTAGTCTCCCCCTTCTCAGGCTGGAGCCACCCCAGTGACATTCCATATGTCGTACTGCCCCTAACCGGCCAGTCCATATGTGTATTCTACACATGTTACCTCCCTTCGGGCAGGATGTGGCTTCCGCAGGGTCCCTCTCCCCTGGAAAGGCACGCTTTCCCAGTGTTATCCAAGAGTTCCCACTGTGTGGGGTATAACGGAACAGCAGTTTGAACTCCCTCTACGCAGGCTTCCGCCCTAGTCAGTTGGGGGTCTGAGAGTCTTGCGTAGGGCACTGGATGTGGAAGCAACCGTGACGTTTTCCATAGGGATCCCAATTACGTCGTCACGTCGACATAACGTCGAACGTGAGCGACTGATAGGGAACGTCTCGGTTACAAATGTAACCCTCGTTCCCTGAAGGAGGGAACGGGAGACGTTAGACACTCGAAGATGACAGAGCTCCCTGAAAAGATATTACGCCATCACGCTGACGTAACGTCTCCCGTTCCCTCCTTCACGGAACGAGGGTTACATTTGTAACCAAGATGTTTTCTATCCAACAGGAACATATAGTCAATCATATCGCAATGACTGTCAAAATAGTTGGTTGCATTACAAAAAGTGTTACTTGTCATGTTTCCGTTCTACCTGTATAGAACATACAGTATGAAATCAATTTTTTTTTTATTCAGTCAGCTGTAAACCACTCTATATGTTTAGTGTGTTTGAATTCATGGTGCATTAGAATTTGTACAACATATCTGAAAGTGAAGGAGTCATAAATACTTTATAGAATGATTTTATAGAATAATAAAATCAGTAAGTGACATAATTGCTGCAGTAAAGGCTTTATTAGCAGTATGAAATTGATCAACAAAACAAAAAAGACAAATATACATGTCCTTTGGTTCAAAGTGTGCAAAAATAAAACAAAATGACAGAAAAAAGGCACAGAAAAAAAATAACTGTCTTGTTCTAATCTATACGATCTTCAGCATTTGCCACATGTTCTCGCCCACATCAAATCTTATGTTGTCTCTCGCTATACACCTTGGATAGAAATGATTGGCCTTATCCACCCCTGGCAGTCTTCAACTGAGATGCCTCTGCATCCAGGAAGGACATTTGGTCATGTGGCCAATGATCATAGACTTTCCACCTCCAGGTAGAAAAAAAATTCCTCAATGGGGAAGAAAGGAGAGTGAATGGTGGAATGCTATGCTACATTGTACCATACAATCACAAATGTCCTCATTTTTCCTCCCACCTGTTCTGCTCCTGGCACCATTTGTTGGTGGAGGTCATCTAAAAACATAAGGCACTCTGTGTTGTAGGGTGGGCTTTTCTGCAGCACCAAACCAGCACTTGAGCAGCACACATTGTGATATTTGTTCCTCTCTGACCCGGCACATCAGCGATGGCCCTTTTCCCAATTATGTTTCTTCTTCCTCGTATACATGTTTTTTCCAGGTTAAACCCTGCCTAGTCTACATACAGTAAATTAATTCATGCAGTTTCTGATTAGCCTCCAACTCCATAATTCTCTGAAAGAAATCAAACACAATGTTTTAGTGCTTTTCAATATGCTGTGTTTAAGCATTTGTAAAAAAAAAAAAAAAAAAAAAAATTCTACAAAGATCCATGATTTTGGTATTGGGTAAGCGTATATGTAAAGAAAATTTAAGCATTAGAACGTGTTAATTGAGCAAAAGTGTATTATTTTAAAATGCTGACATCATCACACTCATGAGTTGGCCACATGCTGACCTCAACATGGAACCTGACAAGAATAACTACTACTACATGTACAGTAACTGCTCATTTTACTAGAGAAACAAATGCAATATCACAAGACAGTAGGTTACCAAACATGACAACAAAATTGGCAATAACCATGGGCGTAGATTACGCGGGGGACGGGGGGGACGTGTCCCCCCCACTTTTTATAAAATGTAAATTCGTCCCCCGCACTTTTTCATAGGGCAAGTGTGTATACAACAAGCTGAGGTTTTCGCGGGTGTGTGTAGCCTACATCGAGATTTAAAATCCAAAGAGTCAAGGATAGTCTATCTACATACGTGACTTTCACGTTTCCATGGTAATCATTCACTCGTGCATTAGCCTACGACACGCCCATGCTCGCACCCGCGCCGAATCCATCAGTATCAGTTCAAAACGGCAAAAACTCTTCACTCGTTTTTCACGAAAAAGTCAAGCACTGTAAGTAAGTTGTCATGTGGTATCCGAATTGTGTTGCACAATGATGAATAACTCTGCCTATTTCTCTTGTTGAATTAAGAAGTTTTGTTATAAATTGAAAATATTCACTACCCGCAAAAACGTGCACTAATACTATTTTCAATCTTTTTTTATTCGTAATGTCTTTTATTTTCACAGATATGTTATCAAAGCCCTTCAAATTAGAATAAACATGGTGATTGTTAATGCTGAATTTGTATTTTCATGCAATAACAGCCACGATCTGCTTAAATCAGGCAGCGTTGTAACATTTACATGATGTTTACCATAATTCGGTAACACTTTACATTTAGATAAAAAAGTTATAGACAAACTTTAAGTTCTCTTGAAAAAGCCTAACTAGAAAGTTTTAATTAGTTTTAAAAGCTTGAAGGTTTTCAATTGGAAGAGTAGTAAGACAATGTTATTTTTAAATCAGTCTACTTCATTGTGATATTTAACCATATTATCATGTTTAACACTGATAATTTTAATAATTATAATCCGATGATCAAATATAAATCAGAGAATATCATATGTTTGGGCGGTTGACGGGTGGATTATTTATTTTTAACAGTGGATTCGGGGGACTCAAAGTGCACCAGATTAATGAATTTATCTTTAAAAATTACAAATTTTTCTTCCGGGGGGGCATGCCCCCGGACCCCCCTAAAAGTACCGAGATCCACCTACAAAAATAATGTGGGTAACACAGTAGGCTATATGGTGATCTACGAAAAATAAAATATATTAATATTTATTATATTAATTAAAATATTAAAATATTAAAATATATTAATTTTCGACCAAAAACCCTGCATGTGCAATATAAAGTAGGCTACTGAACATCTGCATTTCTTTCTTTCTGTTTTATTGCTTTAAAAATAAATTGCATATTAAACCAATTAAGCAAAAACCTGTCAACAAAAGTCTGAAGAAAAAAACTTGACTTTCTGTCCCCCTCACTTTTGAAATGATGGCTACGCCCCTGGCAATAACAACAGGGTAAATAAAACTTGCAAATGGTCAAAAAATATAAACATATTCATTGCTGGTGAATGCACCTAAAACCCTTTTTTCATTCGTATTTGAGCTCAAAAAATGATTTAACTCAACTCTGATGATATCCCTTCTCTCAGTCATACTTTCCTGTCTCCACTCCACTTTCCTACAAAATAATACAAACAAATGATTGCGTGGTGGTGTTTATCTGTTTCATTCAGATTTTGTAGTTAAAAATGAATATGTCTCCATGTAGGAAAGCATAAAACATTTTTTTAATAGACAGAACAATGGTCCCTGTATTATTTCCTTGATGCCAAGAAATGAGATCCTTTTGCATAATTTCTCTTCAGAATACTTCAATTTGATGTGTGCTCCGCACAGACAGTGATGGCAGTTTATCAGTATTTTACTGATATTTGTCTAAAGTCAGGTTTAGACTGTTCATCATAGCACAAGGCCATTAGAAAAACCACCTGGAAGAAATTATATTAAAAAGCATATCTTAAGCCTGGCCTGCGTTCATGTTCCATCAGACAATCTCCAGCGCATTACTCACTGTCATATCTCAAATGATTCAGCGTGCCATACATAATGCATCAGTGTGAATCTTTAGAGGTTGCCTGCAGATTGCCAATGTTCTGAATGCAGGTTAATCTATCCTATATTCAGTGGGGAAAAAACAAAACTGTTGTTACCTTCTGCTGTGTAGATCTAACTTTTACACAGGTGTGTCTCCCCATCATCTCTCCATCACTTCAATCAAGCCACTGTTTAATTAATAGAGCCTGAATATGGTGGTTTTAATGCATGGGGTCCAGGGTCTCGTTACCACCGTATTGTTCTTTCAGATGCTGTGTAATGCTTCTATTAAACCAACCAAGTTAAAAAAAAAATATGGAGATGGAATTGCTCTGGGCTTTAGGGGGTAATTGAAGGAACGATCACCTCGCTTCCGTCATTATCATGGGAATCTGAGATTGACTGTGCCATCATCCTCTCTGGGTGCTACCATTTCTTCTCATTCTTCTCTCAACATCCACTCCAATATGTCCTCCTGAATAGCTATCTTTCACTTTTATTCTTTCCCCCCAGCCTTTCAAATGACTGAGAGGTGCATCAAAGGATGCCAAGATTCTAGGCAATAACAATAAAACGCTTCTGGTGAAAAAGAGGAAAAGCAATAAGAGTGGAGTGTTCTCCTAGTGTGCCAGCAAGCAGCCCTGAGACTTCTGAGAATCAACCCATCTGCTTCAACTCCATTTTCGCTGTTGCGGATTACACAAAATATTGACGGAATTAGAGAATTAAAGAGGAGGTGGTGAGTTAGCATCTCCAGATATTTGGCTTTTAACTTTAATGTTCTGGCTCTTTTAATGGCTCAAGAAACACATTGCAATGTTCAGGCAGAAAAAAGGACCCCAGGGGAGCCGGTGGAGTGGGATGCCTTGACGGAGCCGGGGTGATGGAAGATCAAGGCGGAGCCAGAGGGCTGGAGAAACCAGGGTGACTCCACTGGACCAGAGCCAAGGTGGGCGGATTCGAGGACCGAGGCATAGCAGGTGAGAGTGAGGATGCTGTAGGAGCTGAAGGAATGGTGGACCCCGATGGAGCCGAAGGTGTGGAGGGTCTAGGTGCAGCTGCAGGCCCGGAAGCCCATTGTGGAGTCAGGGGGATGACAGGCAAAGAAGAAGTCGGAAGGATGTGGGAGCCCAGTGAAGCCAGGGGGATGACAGGGCACTGTGGAGCTTATGAGTTGTAAGGCCGAGGCGGATTAATGGGCTTGGAGGGCCAAAATGGAGCCAGAAGGTTGAGACTTTGCGGCCACCACTCTGAAGATGAGGCAGAGCCAGGGAGCTGGACGGAACCAGCGAAGAAAAATAACTGGGTGGAACCAGCAAAGGAAGAGGAGGAGAGGAACTGGGCTGAACCAGCAAAGGAGGCGGAGCCTGGGAACTGGGCGGGACTGGCGGAGATAGGAGACTGGATGGAACCAGCAAAGTATACTTCAGAAGTAAAGGCTGATTAAAATTTAGCATTGGAATGAATTAATTACATTGTACAGTATGTTAAAATAGAAAACATTTATTTAAAATTTTAATAATATTTCACAATATTTTTAAAAAGTAAAATGATTCCCAAATGATAAAAGTTACTATCATTTGGCAATGGAATTGCACTTCTGTTTTAATAATATTAATTCCTTAAAAGTACTAAAAGAACTGTTAAAGAAATCATTGACGATTCCCGTCCCTACTTCTGTATAACCATTGGCCATATGCTCAACGCTCAACGCTCTTATTGTGTGAGCATGTTCATATGAGCATCCCGGTTAATGCATTCCATGTATTTTTGTATTGTGTAATCCACCTGTTATCAAGTGTATCTGTTATCTCTGTCTTCAAGGCTTCTCTGAGGCTTGGAAAAGGTCTGTATGTTTATATACGAAGAGTTCAGATGCAAAAGCCTCTAAGTGCCATCTGAAATTTTCTTCTAGAATGATCATTTTTATCAAGCTTGTATATTTAAGTTCAGTAATTTCACTTGAATGACAATGAAAATTGCCTATTTATTGTCATTTAAGTGAAATTACTGAACTTAAATATACTAGCTTGATAAAAAATTATCAACCTAGAAGAAAAATTCAGATGGCACTTATAGAGGCTTTTGCATCTGAACTCTTCATACATGCAGCATTTATAGTTTATTATACATCAGTTCCCCACCCCACCCCGAAGGGCTGGAGGAAAATCTGTAATGGCTTCAAAGTGTTCTGCCGTTTCCATGGAAACAGCAATAAAAGCAATTAATTGTGATGCGCAAAAAAAAGTGTACAAAGATCCATCACTTCCGAATGGCCCTTGAAATTCCATCAGAGTCATTGCTTTGTCTGTCTTGCTCTCCTGCTCTCTGCATGAAGCTTTGAATTGTTCACATGCTTCGTACATTTGATTTTGCTCTGCAGTTTTCCCATCATCGGATCTGTGGCATCTGGGGGAGGGTGGCAGAGAGCAGTGCTCATCCCTGATGTGTGGCACATTAGCTGGTATTTGCATAATGTCTCCAGGCCTTATTAGGGCCATGCAGAAATGCTTTAGGGAGGATCTCCTGGGTCTGATCCTGCACGGACACTCATGTTTCACACCTCCCACTACTTTTGCAGTGCAAATGAATCACACATGTGAACAAATCAGTTCATATATATATATATATATATTTATGATAACTTTCACTATTTCTTATTTTATTTTGATTTTGTATTGTTTTATTATTATTTGAGGATTTGTTTAAGGCAAGACGCTACAGGCTAAACCATTGTTTTTTCAGACACGGTCAAGTTTGAGAATTTAGGCTATTTTGCTTCTTTCAGAAAGAAAACATCTGATGATGATGACGTGTTGATTATGTGTTTTGGATGATCTTGTTAACCTATAGGGTGATCTTTACTGATTGTTGTAACTATTACAATTTGTAATTGTTTGTGATGTGGTGCTAATTATGTACTTCCAATGAGCTTAATTGTTTACAGATGGAGTTCTGGCAATTGGTCATGTTTTTTATCTGAAAAGAGATGATTTTGAACATACGTATACTCCTGATGAAGGGTCGTGTGACCGAAACGTTGTGTGTTAATAAACATTCATTTTAAATTGCAAGTTACGATAGTGTGCGGGAGTTCCTTATCAGAAAGAAAACATCCAAAATATTTTGGATTAAAAATGTAAGTATTTATTTTATTACACTTTTTCTATTTGCATTTGTAGGTTTCAATTATACATATCATTAAAGGCCGTTTTTTCAAAATGTTTTTTTCTCATGCACTGAGCCAGTAATTACCACGTCAGTAGCACTTAAATACACTAAACCTTCTGGTTTTATGTCATTAAGGTTCTTATAACTCTGATATGTCAACAAAATTAAACATCCATCCATCCATCCATCCATCCATCTTCTTCTGCTTATCCGGGGCCGGGTCGCGGGGGCAGCAGTCTGAGCAGAGATGCCCAGATTTCCCTCTCCCTGGACACTTCCTCCAGCTCTTCCGGGGGGACACCGAGGCGTTCCCAGGCCAGCCGGGAGACATAGTCTCTCCAGCGTGTCCTAGGTCTTCCCCGAGGTCTCCTCCCACTGGGACGTGCCCGGAACACCTCCCCGGGAAGGCGTCCAGGAGGCATCCGGAACAGATGCCCGAGCCACCTCAGCTGACCCCTCTCGATGTGGAGGAACAGCGGCTCTACTCTGAGCTCCTCCCGAGTGACCGAGCTTCTCACCCTATCTCTAAGGGATCGCCCAGCCACCCTGCGGAGAAAGCTCATTTCGGCCGCCTGTATCCGGGATCTTGTCCTTTCGGTCATGACCCAAAGCTCATGACCATAGGTGAGAGTAGGAACGTAGATTGACCGGTAAATCGAGAGCTTTGCCTTACGGCTCAGCTCCTTCTTCACCACAACAGACCGGTACATCGACCGCATTACTGCAGAAGCTGCACCGATCCGTCTGTTAATCTCCCGTTCCATCCTTCCCTCACTCGTGAACAAAACCCCAAGATACTTAAACTCCTCCACTTGAGGAAGGATCTCTCCACCAACCTGAAGTGAGCAAGCCACCCTTTTCCGACTGAGGACCATGGCCTCGGATTTGGAGGTGCTGATTTTCATCCCAGCTGCTTCACACTCGGCTGCAAACCGTCCCAGTGCATGCTGAAGGTCCTGGTGTGAAGGGGCCAACACGACAACATCATCCGCAAAAAGCAGCGACGCAATCGCGTGGTCCCCAAACCTGACACCCTCCGGCCCCTGGCTGCGCCTAGAAATTCTGTCCATAAAAACTATGAACAGTACCGGCGACAAAGGGCAGCCCTGCCGGAGTCCAACATGCACCGGGAAGCAGTCTGACTTACTACCGGCAATGCGAACCAAGCTCCTGCTTCGGTCATACAGGGACCGGACAGCCCTTAGCAAAGGACCCCGGACCCCATACTCCCGGAGCACCCTCCACAGGCCGCCGCGAGGGACACAGTCGAATGCCTTCTCCAAATCCACAAAGCACATGTGGACTGGTTGGGCAAACTCCCATGAACCCTCCAGCACCCTGTAGAGAGTATAGAGCTGGTCCAGTGTTCCACGGCCTGGACGAAAACCGCACTGTTCCTCCTGAATCCGAGGTTCCACTATCGGCCGTATTCTCCTCTCCAGTACCCTGGCATAGACTTTCCCAGGGAGGCTGAGAAGTGTGATCCCCCTGTAGTTGGAACACACCCTCCGGCCCCCCTTCTTAAAAAGAGGGACCACCACCCCGGTCTGCCATCCCAGAGGCACTGTCCCCGACCGCCACGCGATGCTGCAGAGGCGTGTCAGCCAAGACAGCCCCACAACATCCAGATACTAGAGGTACTCAGGGCGGATCTCATCCATCCCCGGTGCCTTCCCACCGAGGAGTTTCTTGACTACCTCGGTGACCTCAGCTAGGGTGATGGACGAGTCCACCTCTGAGCCCTCAGCCTCTGCTTCCTCAATAGAAGACGTGACGGCGGGATTGAGGAGATCCTCGAAGTATTTCTTCCACCGTCCGACGACATCCCCAGTTGAGGTCAACAGCCGCCCACCTCCACTGTAAACAGCGCTGGTAGGGCATTGTTTCCCTCTCCTGAGGCGCTGGACAGTTTGCCAGAATCTCTTCGAGGCCAGCCGATAGTCCTTCTCCATGGCCTCACCGAACTCCTCCCAGGCCCGAGTTTTTGCCTCCACAACCACCCGGGCTGCAGTCCGCTTGGCCTGCCGGTACCTGTCAGCTGCCTCAGGAGTCCCACAAGCCAACCAGGCCCGATAGGACTCCTTCTCCAGCTTGACGGCATCCTTTACTTCCGGTGTCCACCACCGGGTTCGGGGATTGCCGCCTCGACAGGCACCGGAGACCTTACGGCCACAGCTCCGAGCAGCCGCTTCGACAATGGAGGTGGAGAACATGGTCCACTCAGACTCAATATCTCCAGCCTCCCTCGGGATCCGGTCGTGGCTCCGCCGGAGGTGGGAGTTGAAGATCTCTCTGACAGGAGACTCGGCCAAACGTTCCCAGCAAACCCTTACAGTACGCTTGGGTCTGCCGAGTCTGTCCAGCCTCCTCCCCCGCCATCGGATCCAACTCACCACCAGGTGGTGATCAGTTGACAGCTCCGCCCCTCTCTTCACCCGAGTGTCCAAGACATACGGCCGCAGGTCAGATGAAACGACCACAAAGTCAATCATCGACCTGCGACCTAGGGTGTCCTGGTGCCACGTGCACTGGTGGACACCCTTATGCTTGAACATGGTGTTCGTTATGGACAAACTGTAACTAGCACAGAAGTCCAATACCTGAACACCGCTCGGGTTCAGGTCGGGGGGGGCCGTTCCTCCCAATCACGCCCCTCCAGGTGTCACTGTCGCTGCCCACGTGAGCGTTGAAGTCCCCCAGTAGAACGACGGAGTCCCCAGTCGGAGCACTTTCCAGCACTCCTCCCAGAGACCCCAAGAAGGCCGGGTACTCTGCACTGCCGTTTGGCCCGTAGGCACACACGACAGTGAGAGACCTATCCCCGACCCGTAGCCGCAGGGAAACGACCCTCTCGTTCACCGGGGTAAACTCCAACACATGGCGGCTGAGCTGGGGGGCTATAAGCAAACCCACACCAGCCCGTCGCCTCTCACCATGGGCAACTCCAGAGTGGTGAAGAGTCCATCCTCTCTCAATGAGTGTGGTTCCAGAGCCCAAGCCATGCGTAGAGGTGATCCCGACTATCTCTAGTCGGAACCTCTCAACCTCACGCACCATCTCAGGCTCCTTCCCCGCCAGCGAGGTGATGTTCCACGTCCCTAAGGCTAGTTTCCGTGTCCAGGGATCGGGTCGTCGAGGTCCCCGCCTTCGACTGCCACCCAATCCTCTCTGCACCGGCCCCTTACGGCTCTTCCTGCAGGTGGTGAGCCCACGGGAAGGCGGTCCCACGTCACTCCTTCGGGCTGAGCCTGGCCGGACCCCGTGGGGAGAGGCCCGGCCACCAGGCGCTCACATATGAGCCCCAACCCCGGGCCTGGCTCCAGGGTGGGGCCCCGGTCCTTGGATGTTTGTCCATCATAAGGGGATTTTGAACCGCTCTTAGTCAGACCCGTCGCCTAGGACCTGTTTGCCTTGGGAGACCCTACCAGGGGCATATAGCCCCAGACAACATAGCTCCTAGGGTCATTCAGGTACTCAAACCCCTCCACCACGTTAAGGTGGCAGTTCAAGGAGGGGAAAAAAATTAAACATTCAGTTTGAATATGGCTTTATCAATGTTCAGATTTCTGTTCTGGAAATTTCTGCAGATTGAAGTAATGCCTCAGTTGCATATTTAAATAACATTTCTGTCAGGTCCATTAAGTCAAGAACACACAGACAAAATAATTAAGAATTATTTGAATAGATTGCAAACAGGTTGATGTTCCTGAATTGAAATTTGGCGGTATGGCTCTGTTCAGGGAGTCCTCTGACCTTTCATGAGCACCATGAAATAGCAGAGAGTCAGAGGACAGCAGCAGCAGCATTAGGGAACGCTCACACAGTTTTAGACTGTGAGAGCTAAAATATCCCCCTGTGAACAGAGCAGGCAACATGACATAGCAAATGCCACATTATGCATAAGGAGGAGCTGGGGAGGTGGCGGGCAGCAGAAGCGAGCAGCGAGCCAGCAGAAGCGAGCAGCAAGCATGTATGAGCAAGGTGAATGAGCTTTAAATAGGGCGCCTTGTTTGAGCTTTGCCATTGAGCAGCGAGGGGAGTTAACCAGCTAATGCAGCTCAGCTGGAGCAGATCAGCTGACGGGACAGTGTTGATAGCAAATAGCATAAGCAGCTGCTTGACGACCTGGCCTGTCAGAACTGACGCTGACGCTCAATTTCTGTCAGGTCCATTAAGTCAAGAACACACAGACAAAATAATTAAGAATTATTTGAATAGATTGCAAACAGGTTGATGTTCCTGAATTGAAATTTGGCGGTATGGCTCTGTTCAGGGAGTCCTCTGACCTTTCATGAGCACCATGAAATAGCAGAGAGTCAGAGGACAGCAGCAGCAGCATTAGGGAACGCTCACACAGTTTTAGACTGTGAGAGCTAAAATATCCCCCCAAACAAAACCACACCTGGCAATCCTCTGTGATACAGAGGATGATTTATTTGACCACACGAGCTATTCCCCCCAAAACAAAATTGAGTGTCTCGAACGGTGTCGACTGAGCCGCCCTAATTTAGCGATTTATAATAGTAAAAATATTAATTAATTACTGAAATGACTAATCAAGACCGCAAATAGCTAAAACATGCTGTTACCTAGATTATCTGTATTTAACTGTTTGACAGTACAGTCTACAGTGTAAGCTCTATGGATAGATGACTAATCCACCTCTGAGAACGAGCTAGATGAATAAATTACAGCTGATAGCGCATTCAGGGGCGTTAACTGAGCAGAGCGCGAGCAAAATGATGATCAAATGTGTTTTATTAACGAAACAAATCAGAGACTTGAGCTCATGGCTTCTGGTCGTCAAGAATATCCCGAACATCGAGACGGAGGTATCGTTCGTAAGCAGCAGAAACCACCGCCCCATAGCTTAAAGGGTTAAACCGGAGCGAGTGTCGCCGCCGTAGTTGTTGCACAATGCGTAAGAATGAGCTGTATACGGTCCGAAAAGGCAGTCCGCAAAAGTGAATTCCTATCACAGCAAGCTGTTTGAATCTGCGCTGCATAGTGGTAAAAGCCAGCGTGAGCAACGCGATCAGTTGCCAATGACAACAGATAACGCACGTAGCCAATATGATCGCTTAAGCATTTTTATGAAAACGATTAGTTAGATGAGCCCAAATGCCACACGGACAGCATTAACAAGAAGGATGTTGCCAACACACTGATAGCTTTTAGCAATGAATATTAAAAAGGAACTTAGCTTCGTGAAGATTTTCGGAGATGAATGGAGAATGAATCACGTCGAGTCCTGTGTCAATATTGCAGCAGAAGCGAGCAGCGAGCCAGCAGAAGCTAGCAGCAAGCATGTTTGAGCAAGGTGAATGAGCTTTAAATAGGGCGCCTTGTTTGAGCTTTGCCATTGAGCAGCGAGGGGAGTTAACCAGCTAATGCAGCTCAGCTGGAGCAGATCAGCTGACGGGACAGTGTTGATAGCAAATAGCATAAGCAGCTGCTTGACTACCTGGCCTGCCAGAACTGACGCTGACGCTCAATTTATGAAAATTTATAATACAAAATGATTGTCTTAATATACTGCAATTAATCAACTGGGGAAAGTATGTTGATACGTATTAGCTAAAAATATATAAACTATTCACATATGTATTTCCTTAAAAAGCCAATTTGTTTTGTGCAGCACTTTAGTTCAGCTTCTGTTGATTTTTAGTGTGCATTTAAATGCAAGTACATTTTGACTTGACTTGACATACTTTTGGCCATGTGTATGTTCTACATTTGATACTTTCAGGTGCTCACTTAGAGGTCACTGAGATCTCCATTAGACCTAGCTCCAGAAGCATACCTATGCCAACAAAATCGTCAAATAGCTTTCTACAGGATAAATAAGCAATTTTTAAGTATGAAGGGTTGGTCAAAACAAACCTGCAGTGAGCCATAGAGAATTCATCATCTCTGTGTACACCTCTTCTTGCAAATATTCACATAATACTGTGTACAGAACTGTCTATCTCTGAACAGCCTTTTGTGATTGAGCACAACTTGACTTCAGGCTCTGATTGTGCCAGCAATGGAGACTGAGGGGCAGCGAAACAAAAATGTTCAATAGGAATGTGTTGGATCTGTGCAGCTTGGATGCTCAGGGTTAAAAGAAGATGTAACAATCAATATCTTCCTCGTCTTGTCATTTGCCTTTGGCTGTATCTTTCTCTTCTACTCAGTCTCACACATAGAGCAATCACATAGCACATGAAGGCCATGCTCTAAAAGATCATGGCGTTGTTCAGGGTTTTTGTTGCCCACGCCCTATCAGAAGATGAATTTATTTTGCAGCAATTAGTAGGCCATCCATGATCCAGAAATTTGAGGCCCCTCACATTTTTTTAATTATTATAAATAACCATAGCTCACACATTATCAGTATTAATGAAAAAGGGGCCAATAGTGTTGACACCATATTGACTAATGAGAGGAAATTACGTTATATTTGTGCACAATTCAGCATTTTTTTTTTTTTTTGTATATATAAAGAAAAAATATATTCAAAACATCCGGAACCTGATCACCACCTCCCTTCTGAGCCCAAATAGGACAGTTTGGTTGCAGTTCATGAACCCTTGGCACTTCTGGCACATAATACAGCTAGGAATCCAAATATAGATGCTTGATTTTTAACCGTAGTGTCAGAATGAATTTAATTCATAAAGTAAATTGTTAAATTTATTGGAATATGATCAGTAATTTATTGGAATAATGTATAAAATGTATAATGTATAAAATGGCTACTAAACTGTTCTTTCAGAAACTGATTTTAAAAGTATACATTTCATAAAACTTCATCAATTTTTTATTTTTTTTATTTTGAATGAAGAATTTTGAAAGGAAACTCCTAATAAAAATAAATAAATCTCATACTCTAAAAACTAATTCATTCCATTGTGGTCATATGTATAGGCTACATGTATGGAAATGGCGTTGGCTCAGCATAGAAAGCAACATTTTTAAATGTACAGTGGGTTTTTTTTTTTTACTTGTTTTATAACTTCTGATGTTGTTTGATTCTGTTCATAGAGTAGGGTAAAAAAATAGGACTACATTTAAAAACAATTCTATACACTGCTAAGCATGTTACAACTGGGTTAACATTCAACTTATTAATATATTTGTATCCTTCTAAAAAGAACAAAGATGCTTAGAAAACATGGATTTGAAAACCACATATTGCCACAATTGTAACTGTGCCATAACTGTTGCAAATAAATATACATTTTATACAAAAAACGTTTTTAAAATATGCGTTATTTGTGTGTGAGTGTCTCAACTTTAAAACTTGCCGTCTCATATTTGGACCATTACCTAACAATTCTTGTGAAACTTATTTAAACGTTATAACATGATTGTTATGAGGTTGGAGGATAGACGAACCCAAAAGCAGACTGAATGCTCTTCACACAATTTATTGAGGACAAAACAGAGAAAACAAAACCCACAAGGGGGCAAAACAAGACTCGAGGCAACAAGACTAAGACTAGCTAAT